GTGGGTTTAGAGTGAGTCAGCACTAGTTCTGTGGAGTCACACTGTGACTGATAGGTGGTCACTGTGGCACATCTGTGCAGTCCATGAGGGATGTGGGGGCCAGTGGGGCAAGTCAAGTAGGTTATATGCAGCTCTCCCATAGGGAGGTGGTCACCAGGAGATGGTTGTGTAAGGCAGATATCTGGGTCGACTGCTTTGAAGAACTGGGAGGAGGTGCAGAACTGGAAACTGTGTGAAGGGATTAAGCCCTGCTTCTGGTGTGAGAAAGTTAAACTTATATTCAAAATGGATGCCATGGGCTGGCCCAGTGGCGCACTGGAGAGTGCGCCACTTGGGAGCATGGCGGCACTCCCACCGAGGGTTCGGATCCCATGTGGAGACTGGTTCCCGCTCACTGGCTGAGCGCGGTGCGGGTGCAACACTGAGGGTTGCGATCCCGTTGCCGGTCCCCGGTACGGGCGTGACACCAAGGGTTGCGATCTCGTTACTGGTCAGTAAAAAAGACAAAAAGGAAAAAAAAAAGGATGCCAAGGCAACATAAAATAAGAATTCACTACATAGGATTCCTTTGATTTTTTTCATAAGGATTTTGTAGTTTTCAGCATACAGATTTGTATCTAAATAGTTTGGGTGTTTGGGGTGCTATTATAATTGTTTAATTTCAATGTCTAAACATTCATTGGTAACATGCAGACATGCAGTTGATTTTATTGGCTTTATATTCTGGTACCTTGGTAAACTCACTTATTAGTCCTAGGAAGCTTTTTTGTAGTTTCCATGGGATCTTCTACGTAGACAAGCATGTCTTCCACAGATGGTGACCATTTTATTTCTTCTTTTCTACTGTATGCTCTTTTTTTTTTTTCTTGCCCTATTGTGCTGGCTAGAGCTTCCTATGTGATATTGAATATAAGTGTTGGGGGCAGATATCTGTACCTTGTTTCTGATCTTAAGGGGAAAACATTGACTTGCTCACCATTAAGGATGATGTTAGCTTTAGGTTTTGTCATAGATTAATTTTATCATGTTCAGAGGGTTCCTGACTATTTCTAGTTTGCTAAGAGTGTTTTTAAATCATGAACGGTTATTTAATTTTTCAAATGCTTTTTCTACATCTATTGAGAAAGATCATGTGATTTTTCTTCTTTAATCTAGTAATATGGTGAATGACATTGATAGATTTTCAAACGTTGAACCAGCCAAGGCTGGGATTTGTGGAATTAACTCCATTTTGTCATGATGCATTATCTTTTTTACGTATTGCTGGGTTTTATTTGCTAACATTTTGTTTAGGGTTTTTTGTATCCATGTTCATGAGGGACATTGGTCTGTAGTTTTCTTTCCTTGTAATGTCTTTGTCTATTTTTACTATCAGGATAATACTGGCCTCATAAAATGAGTTAGGACATGTTCCCTCCTCTTTTATTTTCAGGTAGTATAGAATTTGTATTATTTATTTCTTTAAATATTTGGTTAGAATTCACCATTGTAACTATTTGGGACTGGAGTTTTCTTTGTGAGATGTTTTTAACTATAAATTCAATTTTTGTAATAGACAGAGTTTATTCAGGTTTTCTATTTCTTCTTGAGAGAATTTTGATAGTTTGCATCTTTCACAGAATTAGCCCACTTCATCTAAGTGTTTGAATTTATGGGCATGTCATGGCTCGAATACATTGTCCTTAAATGTCTGTAGGATCTGTATGATATCACCCTTTCATTCATGAAATTGGTCATTTTTATCTTCCTTTTTTTTTTCTTGAACAGTTTAACTAGAGGTTTATAAACTTTATTAGTCTGTTACAGGAACCAGCTTTGGGTTTCATTGATTTTCTCTGTTGATTGTTTTCAATTTCACTAATTTTGGCTCTGTATAATTTTTTTTTTCTCTTTCATTGGGATTAATTTGCTCTTCTTTTTCTAGTTTCTCAAGATGGAATCTTATATTACTTATTTGACATTTTTCTTTTTTCCAATATAAACATTTATTGCTATGAATTTCCTCTAAGTACTGCTTTAGCTACATCCCATACATTTTGATACTCTATGTTTTCTTTTTCATTCTGTTTAATATATTTTCTAAGTTCCCTTGAAACTTTTTCTTTGGCTCCTGGCTTATTAAGAAGTGCATTTAATGTCCAAATATTTAGGAATTTTCTAGTTATTTTTTTCTGTTACCAGTTTCTAATTTAATTCTGTTATGGTCAGAGAACATACTTTGAATTATTTCAATTCTTTTAAATTTCTTGAGGTTTGTTTTATGACATATAATATGGTTTATCTTGATGAATGGTCCAGGTATACTTGAAAAGATTGTGTATTCTGCTGTTATTAGATTTATTGTTCTGTAAGTGTCAGTTAGGTCAAGTTAGTTGATAGTGCTGGTCACATCTCTATCCTTGCTGATTAGTTTATCTGTGTGTTTTGTTTTGGTTTTGGCAGCTGGCCAGTACAGGGATCGAACCCTGAACCTTGGTGTTTTCAGCACCACATTAACCAACTGAGCTAACCAGCCAACCCCTCCTTGCTGATTTTATCTCTACATTTCTACAGATTACTGAGAGAGGATTGTTAAGTTTTTAAGAGTAATTGTGGATTTGTTTATTTCATGTTGCTGTTCTATCAGTTTTTGCTTTCTGTATTTTGAAGTTCTGATAGATGCATACACATTTAGGATTATTATATTTTCTTTGTAGATTTACCTTTTTATTGTTATGTGATATTCTATTTATATCTGGTAAGTTCTCTTCCACTGAATTCTATTTTGTCTTATGTTAATATAACCACTGCAGCTTTCTTTCAATTATTGTTTGCATGGCATGTCTTTTTTCATCCACTTACTTTTAATCTAGGTATATCATATTTAAAGTGGATTTCTTGCAGACAATATATAATGGAGTCTTTTTTTTTTTTGCAATCTGACAAACTCTGCCTTTTAATTAGTATATTTAAAGTATTTAAATTTAATGTGATTATTGATATGGTTGGACTTAGGTCTACCCTTTTACTTTTGTGTTTGTCCCTTCTGTTTTTCATTTCTCTGTTCCCTCTTTTCTGCTTTCCTTTGAATTATTGAATAAATTTTAGGATTCCTTTTCAATTTATGTAATAGATTTGGGGCTATGTTTCTTTGTGTAAGTTTTTAATGATTGCTATAGAAATGATAGTATACATATCTAATTTTCAAAGTATTCTTAGATTTCATATTTTACTGCCTCTAGTAAGAGGCAAAAGGCTTACAAAAGTCTTCCAAGTTTCTTTACCTTCCCCAGTTTTTTATAATTATTGAATGCATTATATGTACTTACATTGAAAACACCTCAGAAATGTTATAATGTTTATAATTTTTTGCTTTCAACAGTTATAAATATTTCAAGGAACTTGAAAAAATTGTCTATTATAATGTCCAAATATTGACTATTTCTGTTGCTTGTTCTTCATTCTTGAAGTTCAGGGTTTCCCTTTGGAAATATATCCCTTAAGCCTTAAGAACTTCCTTTAGCATTTCTTTTAGAGCAGATCTGCTAATGACAGATTCTCTTAATTTTTTTTTATCTGAGAATGCTTTAAATCACCTTCTTTACTGGAGAAAATATTTGCTGAGGAGGGAATTCTGAGTTGACAGTTCTTTCAGCACTTGAAAGTACTTGTTCCACTGTCTCTGGTCTGCATGGTTCCTGAGGATAAATCTGTAGTCAGTCACATTGTTTTTCCTCTGCATGTAATGTGTCATATTGCTCTGGCTGCTTTCAAGAATTTTTTTTAATCTTTGTTTTTCAGTAGTTTGATTATGATGTTTCTGGGCCTGGTTTTCTTTTAATTTATCATATTTAAGATTGTTCAGCTTCTTGAATTGGAAAAATTATGTCTCACTAAATTTGGGAAATTTTTAGCCATTATTTCTTCAAAAATTTCTTTTCTTCACAAAAATCTCTTTTCTTCTTTGGGGAATAAAATAACACAATTTGATATTGTAATTTTGATATTATTCTATAGGTTCCTGAGGCTGTATTCATTTCTTTTTCTCCAATATTTTTCTTCTTCTCTTTAGACTGGATAGTTTCTACTGATTTGTCTTCAAGTTCACTGGCTCTTTTTTCTGTCATCTCTACTGTATTATGGAGCTTATTCTATGAATATTTGGTATTTTTTTTAAGTATCATGTTATTCTAATGTACAGAAAACTTGAGAGCCAGGACTCAATGTCCTCACCTTAAAAATGAAGATAATAATGCCTCTCTTACCACCTCCCAGTTCTGGGGGAATGTAAGAATATGGCCTGTAGGATGGCAGGACTTTGATACCTAGCAGTTTGCACTGTAGCACAATTTATCAGATCTAGGCAGGGAGTCGAGACCAACTAACATCCAAGGAGTTTCATTACCAGACAAAGCAAGGTTTCATTATTCAATATGCTGCCAAAAATCAAAAGGATATTGTAACAGAAATTCTCATGATTTGATCAGTGAGAACAGGCTAGAAACATGGCTCTGACCTATTGCACATTGCCCCATGTTGTGGAGCTGTGAAGGCATTTAACAAACAGCCCCTGAGAGTTTGCAAGTTCAGCAGGCAAGAGGAAAGACTGCTGTAAAAAGATGAGAATTTTCATCTTAAAATAAATTCTTAAATAAAAGTACAACATACAAATTTCACAGAAATCTACCTTTAGCATATTACATGGGAATTTTTAAGTTAGCTGAGTTCATAATTTGGGCTGCTACAAAAAGAATTACTGTATAAAATTACAATAAGGGTCATACAGGCTAGTGTCAAAAGGAATTGTTCTCAAATTCGCTGATTATACTTTGTGGTGTGCCCATCAAAATAGTTTTAATATTAAACAATTGTATTAAGTATTGATATGCTTATGCATGATTCATTGGCATCATTTATTTTATTAATGTTTAATAAAATGTGATGCACTTTAAATACCCTTAAAAGGTACGTATTAAGAGTAGATAGTTCAACTAAAGCTATTCTCCTCTTATTATTGACAGAATATCCAAGGTATCTCCAAGCACCCGATTCAGATTACTAAACCTAAAAATTTTAAAGGTAACACATTTTTTTCTACCTTGCTAAAATCTTGGGTAATGTGTTTTTAAAACCTACAAGTGTCTGTAATTACTTTTCTTTATGACTAACTGCTTTACTTTACTGAAGCTTTCCTCTGTATTTGTATGACTAGGATTTAAATGTGCATTAGAAAAAACCCAGCTAAAGTAATATATAGTACCTCCCTTTTAGCAGTTTACAAGTTAAAATAGATGATTATACAAGGAAAGTAGCTTCCCTCTCACCATCTTCCCAATAAAGAAAAAATAAGCAAACAGTGGCACTGGCTGGTATTAAAGTCTGAAAATGACTGGAAATGTTTTTAAAAGCACACTAGAGCTCTCCTTTCTTTTGAGTTATTCCACTGTGATGCTGATGGTCACATTTCTAAAACAGAATAAATTCAATTCTGAGCAAATCAGCAGTCTGTGCTTGTTCCCAGAAATCTTCTGTTCCCTTGTTTGGGGTGCCCGCCCCTTGTGCATTGTGCATGGCTGTGTCAGAAGGCCACAGCAAAACAATGAGGCACAATGTGCACTCTTCTTTTTTTTTTTTTTTCCTTTTTTTTTTTTTTTTTTTTTTTTTTTTTTTCC